TTTCTCTGTGAAGTTCGACACCTCCTCTAGAATGTATGCCTCTGCAATGGAAGCCTCAATGTTGGCTTTATTTCTACATTTTTTGCGAAGAGTCTTCAGACATCTCTCGATTGGATAGCACCAACGGTTCTACACGGGCCCCCTCATCCGTGCCTCATACAGGAGGTGCACAATCAAATGCTGCATCGGCAAGAAGAAGCCAGGTGGAAAGATCTTCTCCAACTTACAGAGCAACAAGGGTGCCGCTTTTTCCAAGTCATCAATGACGGTCCGAGAGAGCTCCTTGGCACAAAGCTGGCGGAATAAGTAGCTCAACTCTGCCAGCACTTGCCAGACATGCTTCGGGACATAGCCTCAAACCATCGCCGGAAGAAGCCGCTCAATCCATTTGTGGTAGTCATGACTCTTCATCCCGTTTACTCGCAGAGTGCCTAAGTTCACTCCCCTCTTTAGATTCGCTGCATACCCATCTGGTAACATTAGTGTCTTGATCCATTCAAGTACTTAACTCCTTTGGTCCTTTTTTAAGACGAAATCGGCCTTAGGCCTTCTCTAGGTCTTGCCACGACTAGGAGGCTGCATCTCTTGATTTGGTCTATCGCACAACGTTGCCAGGTCCACTCTAGCCTTAGGGTTGTCCTTAGACTTTTTAGTGTCCATGAGTGTTGCCCAAAGTGCCTCGGCGACATTCTTTTCAGTGTGCATTACATCAATGTTATGTGGCAGCAGAAGGCCATCGAAATAGGGGACACTCGTCATGCCCGAGATATGAGTCCACATTGTTGCTCACCATATCCCACAAAACCACCTTCTTCATTGGGCACGAGAGCATCTATCTGAGCATGAACCTCGGCACCAGTCATCATCCGCGGTGTAGGGTTTGTCACTTTGACACCATTCGTAAAGTTCTTGATGTCTTGTCTGAATGGATGGTCAAGAGGTAGGAATTGACGATGTATGTCGAATGACGAATACTTGCCACCCTTCTGCAACCAAATGAACCTCACACCTTCCTTGCATATTGGGCATGGGAACTTCCCATGAACACACCAGGCGTAGAATATCCCATACGCCAGGAAGTCATGCAGGGAGTAGTGGTACCAAACGTGCATTTTGAAGGTTGTCTTTGTATCTCGATCGTATGTCCATAACCCTTCGTCCCAAGCACGGACCAATTCATCAAACACGGGCTCCATGAACACACCCATATTACTCTCTGGGTGTCCAGAAATTATCAACGACAAGAATACGTTATGTCGTTGAAAGGAGACACCGGGGGGGAGATTAAGGGGGATAACGAAGATGGGCCAACATGTGTATGGGGCAGCCATCATTCCATAAGGATTGAACCTATCTGTTGCCAGCGTGACACGTACATTACGAGCCTCATCTGCTTTGTCACGATGTTTGTTATTAAAGCGGATCCAAGCCTCACCATCGGATGGATGTACCATCTTATCAGGATTGTACCGTTTGCTATTTTTGTGCCATGTCATCTGTTTCGCGTATTCCTCGGTCATGTATAGCCGTTGGATCCTCGGTAGGAATAGAAGGTACCGTAGGATTTTCACTGGGATCATAAGTTGCCTCTTCTGGGCATCATCAGAGTCTACCTCCAGATACCTGGAGGAATTACACTTTGGATAGAACTTTGCATGCTCGTGTTCTTTCCTAAATACTACGCACCCCTTCGGACAAGCATGTATCTGCTCATACGGTATCTTAAGTGCACGAAGGAGTTTCTGTGACTCGTACATGCTCTTTGGTAGAATGTGGCCCTCCGGAAGCAGGGTGCCAATCACGGCCAACATCTTATCAAAGCCAGGCCGATTCAAGTTTAACTCGGACTTCAACCCCATTAAGCATCCAATGGCATCCAGTTGAGACACCGTTGACTGATCGTGAAGGGGTTTCTGTGCTGAGTCCATCATGTCGTAGAACGCCTGTGCGGCTGCCTCCATCTCCTCCTTCTCACGTCCCTCATCGAACTATCCTTGGTGAAAGTCATCTAACATGTCTGCTACCCCGGCATCAGCATCAAAAGCCTCCACCTGTGGTCTCACCACCTCCTCTCTCATACGATGGGCTTCACCATGGTGGACCCACCGAGTGTAGTCCAGCGTGAATCCATTCTTCACAAGATGTTTACCCATTTCCACCTTGTTTACCCTTCTCCTGTTTCCACATTTGCTGCAGGGACACAAAACTAGGCAATGTCCTTTAGCAGTCTTGCCAAATACACTATTCAAGAAAGCATCGGTCTTGTTCATCCATTCCGTGGTGTAATCACTCTGACTTCTCCAGCCCGTGTACATGCACTGACGGTCATCCATCCTCTAACATATGTATCAGCGAGTAATGTAACCATCAATTGCATCTACATGGTGTTCCTACTGTCTAATAGGTGAGGATAGGTCCTAATCCCACCCGCGGATGCGTAGATGAGGTTAGTTTCCATGCTCTACTCCTATCCGAGATAGAATTTCGGCAGCACCTCCCCGTTGTTCTCTAGATACACGTCCTGCCAAAGAAGAGTGCGTATCCAGAGAACAACAGGGAGGTGATGCCGAAACTCTGTCTCGGACCGGAGCAGACCATGGAAACTAACCCATCTACGCATCCGTGGACTGTCCAAAAAACGTGGACAATCCGAAATAGATACGGTCATAGATATGCAAAGATCTGCATACCTCCAACCGTATCGTTTTTGAACGGGAGACGCCTAACTGGGTTACGTGATCTACGACCATGATACGGAAAGAGGGGTTATACCTAGGGTGGCGGCGGAGTCAGGCTAGCAGGGCCGTGGCGGGTCGGTGCAGTGGCGAGGCGACGCGGTGTAGGCCGACCGGCACGGCGACGGGAACTCCGACTCGGCTCTGACGGGCTCTTCTCTACAAAAATAGAACAAAATACTGTCATTTAAAAAAAATTAGCGAGAACCTCCCACGCAGTGAGGTTTCCAAAACTCAAAAAACAACGACACGATGGCCGACAAGCACATATGTCTCAAGAGAAGCCATGTAGTTTGGATATCAATCCATGCGGAAGAATATATCCAAGTAGTACCACTACTTCTACTACTACTTCCACTATTGCTACTACTACTACCACTAGTTCTACTACTACTACTACCACTATTGCTACAACTACTACCACTAGTTCTACTACTACTACTACTACCACTACTTCTACTACTACTACCACTAGTTGTACTACTACTACCACTAGTTGTACTACTACTACCACTACTTCTAATACTAATACTACTACTAGCACTAGCACTACTAGTACAACTAATACTACTACAACTATCACTACCACGACAACAACAAGAGAGCATGCATACATAAGCGGGGGTAAAGGCGGCGGCGTCGGGGTGTCGTGGTCCAGGTCGCCAGAGTCGAGAACAGGGTTGAGCACGCAGCGGCGTTAGTGCTGAGGCGGTCCACGGTAGCATGCCGCAGTAGAGGCCGAGGCGAATGCGGCAAAGCCGAGGTAGGGCGTGGCAGGTCAGCGGCGCTGGTAATGGCGGCGCGCCATGAAGGAGGTGTGTGTGGCGGCGCAGGCGGCGGTGGCATGTGAAAGTGTGTGCGTGTGTGCGGGTGCGTGTGTGGCCCAGAGGTTAAATCCCCCTTTCAAAGTGCCCCGATCGGCACTTTCGGCAAAGGGTTTTTTAAAATTCTTTGCCGAGTGTCCCGGATCTGCACTTTCGACAAAATTTTTTTTGAAAAATACTGCTGCGAGTGCCCCTGACACGCGCCTTCGGCAAAGATTTTTTGAAATGTCTTTGCCGAGTGCCCAATGCTGAGCACTTTCGGCAAGAGGAATTTTTAAAAAATTCAATACCCTCTTTGCCGAGTGCCTTATTTTTGGCACTTTCGGCAAAGACCCCATTTGCCTTAAAGTGTCATGCCCCCAGCACTTTCGGCAAAGAATTTTTTTTGGCCTCCAAATTTTGTGCAGCCCTTTTAAGGTATCGGAACTCCTAGTTAGAATTTGGGGATTTTTGTGGCTTTTGATATATTTAGTTACTTTATTTCGTTTACTTGAGTTTTTTCAAAATATAAATTTGAATTGCACGTGGTATGAAATTTAATGATTCAAAAATGATAGTCATATTACTTGAGTGTAGTGTGAGGCCGTATCCAGGAACGGATCTGAAATTGTGGACATCTTGTTCACGAAACATGACCGCGAACTTGCGTGCGAAGTGTTTTTTAAATTCTATAAATGCAAACAAAGTCCGAAAATTATGAAACTTGTTAAGATGTCGTGATATCGTATGTGGAGGCTATGATAAAAATTTGAGAATGTTTGGTGTACGTTATCATGTACGATGCTTACAAATCAGAACATCTTCATATGTGATATGTGATATCACATGTGATATTATGAGAGAAAAATACTATTCTGGCTGAAAATATTACGAGAGAAAAACACCGTTGTGGTAAAAAAAAACCGTACAAGCGGGAGGGTAAGCCGAACGGGGCAGGGCTGCATGTGGGTGGCTCTCTGCCCAAGGACCCGTGTTCAGACGCCCCGTGACCTCCCCGTCTGTGATCTCTGTCGGCAAGAATGATGTGCAGCATCTGGTGCGTCCGGACATCACAGAAATGTTTTGGCATTTGGCAGATGAGAATTACTGTGAGCCTGCCTGGCAAGGCATCGCAAGAAGTTGTGGGCAATACAACAAGGTAACCAAGATATTGTCTTGACTCGACACGATAACGGCTGCAAAGGGAACAAAAATCAAAGGACCTCACGAGCTATAGCTGGTAAACGAAAACCAGCACAGTGCTAGCATGCATCATGCATGCATATGGCTGATTATTCGGTAAACACTAGAACACTGACGACGAGCAAGACCAAGCATGAAGCCGATTGAGCGGCGACATTTATTTATTTCGAATTCTTCTCCGACGAAGCTCGAGAGAAGCAAACTCGACTTGGCATGGCATGCCCGCTTGCAGCAGATCGACGGCGTCCCATCGATGCCATCAGAAGACCTCACCCAGGAACGCCGCAGCCGGTGCCGTCGTGCAGCGGAGCTCGCAGAAGTTTGTGAGCATGTCCGCGCAGCGGTAGGCGCGGACGGTGCTGCCGGGGCCATCGTCGTCGGCGGTGAGCGTGTTCCTGACGCACTTCTTGCACTCCGGGTGGCACCCATGCGCCGAAATGTCATTGCACCGGCACTTCGGCGGCATCATCCTGTTGCAAATACCGCAGTCGTCGCAGCACGGCCACGAGCCTGGTGTGCCGACGCATGTTTAGTCAAAATGTCTAGTAGTAGTGTGCATGCATGCATCCTATAACAAGTGATGTGTATATATCCTGATGAAAATAAAACTAAACGGCGAAAGGATTCTCGTCGTCACCTTCGCCGAGCGGCAGAGCTGCGAGGACGCCGAGAACAGCCAGAGTGACGACGAGTATCACCTGAGGCCTCCTCATCTTTGTTTCTCCTGGCAAGAACGGGCAACAGTGCTATTTTTTCGTTCCTACTGGGTCTGGGTACTGACGACTGTAAGAGGCTGGAGGTCTTCTTATAGGGAGGGAGGGAAGGCTTCCAGCGTCACAGATGCCTAGAGGAGTCCATATAGACTTCACTAGTACTCAAATTATTTTCTAGTGTAAAGGGATGTAATTGATGGTCATCTTCACAAACCACCCGTACAAATCAATCCAAAACTGAATGACACCCTCTTTGAGTTAGAGAAAAGAGCGATGAAACCCTAGGGGCGCCCCTGACTGCCGCCCCCAACCCGCCGGCGGCCCCTCCCTTCATCTCCCCTCCTCCTCCCCGCTGATGAAGAATCCACTTGCCTAGTGGGGTTTCATAGACCAATCGAGCCTTCCCCTCCCTATAGCCTCCCATCCCGCACATCCAGCCCCTCCATTGCTTGGCTCCATGGGATCGCCCTCCCTAGGGAGCCGCCGCGCCCAGACTCTCCCGACCGTCGCCATGCAGCTGAGCACAGCCTGCCAAATCCAGCGCTAGAGGCGCCCGTCACGGCCGCCTCGACACCACCACCACCGGATCACGGAGTTGGGCGCCTCGTGAGCTCAATCGACCTCCGTGAGATCAACCAGAATAAGTTTTGGCATTGGGAGGAAGACCCCGGCACGGGCAGCTCCGACGACGAACTCGCGTCTTCTGCCACGCGCATGCTATACCTGGACGCCGCTCGCAAGGCTCTCCGGGACATGCCTCCACCGTCGGCTTGAAGCTTGACGCAGCCTGAGAGCCGGCCCGCCGGAGAAACCCATCCGGTGCTGTAAGTGCGAAAAGCAGCATCATCGGCCTGAGAACCGGTCGCCCGACGGACTCATTGTGTGGACTCCACCGTTGCACGCCGCGTCAGTACCCATGCAGCGTTGCCTGGGTCTGCTGCCGGCAGCAAGAGTCCTGGTGCACCAGCGCCTCGGACCGCGACGTAGGGATCGTCGTCACCGGCGATGTCCGAGGAGAACAGCACCTAAAACGCCACCGACCCGTCCCGATGGAGCTTCTAGGTCTGCTTCAAGCGCCTCGCTTTGCATGACCACATAAATCGCTCGGTGTCGCTCCCGTCCATTTTGTCTTTGCCGGGGTACCGACCATCGAGCCGAGCGTCTTGAGTGTGGTGGTTCGCCAGGCGTGCCTACCAAGGCCCTTCGTCGCCTTGCAAGCCTTCGTCCTCAGAGGCCGGGCTCGGCCGCAGTAAGGCACGTCGCTCGGCCGGTCCAAGGTGACCCAGCTTGTCACCGAGATGTCGTGTCGTGCCAAGCTTGGCGCTAACACCGTCATCGCCTCGTTGTGCGCAACAGTCGACCACACCGCCATCATGGCCATCGTCGCCACAGCAGCTGCATGGCAGCAGGCTGCCGCTATCACCACCTCTGGGTGACGCTGATAGCCGTCCCAAGGTCGAGGTCTTCGTCGTCCCGAGGAACTTGGAGCTCGCCCGCGTCTGAGTCACGAACCTCTCCTTGTTCTTGTCACACCTTTCCTCGAAGTTCCATGTGTTTGAGGGTGCGACCGAGTGCATGCTTGGCTCGGGGACCCCTCTCGAATCTGAAGGCGTCGGCGGGGCGGCCCTCTAGCTCGTCGTGCAAGAGAGCTGGACTGAGGACGAAGCGGACTTGATCTTTGTTGAGTCGGTAGAAGGCGGTGCAACAGCGAGACACGATCTTTGGATCAATCTTTGGTTGAAGTGGCAATCCAAGGTCCGCCCCTCGACCATCGCTCCGCTTCGGAACCAGGCCATGTTTCGGTGACGACCATGGACATGGCCGACAACCATCCTGGTGACGTCCAGCCAACATTCGACAACGAGGACAGTGTGGCAGAACTGCCTAATCTAATGCCTCCTAGGAGTACATGTCTTCCATTAGACATTAAGTACTCAAGGGAGAACACCAAATTACACGATTCATGGGGTCACACCCTAAGGGAGAACCCAAAAATCCATATTTTTCCATCAGGATCACAAATGAGAGAATAAAGCTTACATCATTCTTAACCATTTCTTACATCACTTTTAATACAACATCAGAGTATAATATTTATTGTTATAACAGCGGAATGTAATCATATTATCAGAGTTATGAACAATTTAATTGAACAGCGAAATATATACATGTGATCAGAATTACAGCGGAAATAATTATCTATTCATGACATGATGAAACGTTGATATATAAACTATGACAACAGATTATAAAACTTTCATTTATAAAAACATTTAGTGAGAGTTATTAATAAAAACTATGATCACAGCGTAAAGGAATCCTCGCTGAGCCCACCAGGAGGAATCCACACACAAGAGTCAGCTTTAGCATTCACCTGTTACCTGCAATAAGGGGAAATAAAACCCCTGAGTACTCAATTGTACTCAGCAAGACTTACCCGACAGGAGGAAAGAAAAGACTCCAAGGATATGCAAGGCTATCTGGCTTGCGGGTTTATTACATCTGCAGGAAGCATTACAAAGCATGAGTCCTTAGATTGGATTTTTATTAATAGCCACATTGGTTCATTAACTAACCATTCTATGTAAGCACATGTGCTACTTTCAAGCAGGAGGTAAGCAATCAGATTTCTTTTTTCCATCTTCCATCTTCCATCTTTCAATTCTTACTACGGTGCTAGAGGTAAGACAAGTCATACCGACTCGGCGGGCGATTCAGCGAATCAATGTCCCCAATTTGGGTACCCGAAAACATCGCCCGCTTGTACCCTAGGCACAAGCGGGACCAACCATCACCCTCCTGTCACAGGTGTCCAGGTCCCGTCAAAACTGGTACTCCAAGCCCCGCCCAGAGTCCCTTACTCGGTGTGGTGCAAGGACCTCCTAACCCAAAAACCACCACGATAGTCGATGCGGAAAGAGCCGGATCCGGGACAAGAGAGCAACAAGTCTTCCAAGCACCCATACACAAGTATGTGCTCGGGATAATAATCTGTGACTTGCCTAGCGTCTTATGCAACGGCCGGTCCTTAGCAAACATAGGCAGGGAAAGCGATTGTAACCAAGCTATGCCTCGTATCCGCGGCGACACAACCTCTTACACCCACCAATATCCAAACCATATCCCTGCCCAGTCATCATTTTTCCTTTCCACCATTTATATTTTCCAAGTGATAATAATACATTCATATATTTCCTATATCTACATGAGTGACGAGGCAATCACTCGACTTCTCTACGGAGTCTGTAGCATAGCAATCTACACGATCATGTCATACTAGTAAGACTCATAGGATAAAGATATCTATGCAAGTGGGTTTCAACCAACTCCTTAAAACTTAATGCACAAATATAATTTAAACTGCAAAAAACTAGGGTTATGCACCGGGCGGTGAGCGGAGTGGCTGCAAAGATGATGACAATGACGAGGAGCGCGGCAGGCGCATGGCGCGTGACCCCCAGCGTTTGTCTGTGAGGCAGCGCCTCGGCCTTTGGCGAACACAGCCATGGCGAGGCGCATTGGGCCGCGAATCGCGGCTCTAGAACAAGGAGGAAGAAAGGCGGCTCGACGAGGCGTTGACACCCAGCAGTCCGCGGTGGTGGCGGGTACTCCGCGAGGCGGCGGGAAGGAGAAAGGAGGCGGCGTTGCGAGCACCACGGCACACAGCGGTGTCTAGAAACGCCGTGGGGGCTCGCGTGGGGAGGACCGGCAATGGCTTGCGTGTGGCGTGAAGCGAAGCGGGGCGAGAGCAGCGTGATTAGGGCGGCGGCTAACAGAACTCGGCCAAGAGATAGCCCATGGCGGATGCGTGCTAGCAGCAGAGCGAGAGAGAGAGGGGAGGCCGTGCAGGAGGTGGAGCACCGTGGAGGTTCGTGCACGCTCGCGTTTGCGGTGGCCGGCGACGGGAGCGCGGCCACGGCAGCGCTACGGGCGGGCGTGGGGCACAGCGTCTGCGGTGGAAGCGGCGCTTGGTCTTTGAGTGGGCGAGGCAGTAACCCCTTGGCTGCGAAGCAACCAACATAAGGGGACCGAGGCGTAGCGCTTCGTGGGGAGACCGGCGATGCGGGCGGTGGACCACGGCCGAGACGAGGCGTGAAGGGGAAGCCCGGTGACGGACCTTGTGTGGAAGCAGCGGAGGCATCGGCCGAGGCTTACGCGCCGCGGTGGCCGGCGACCAGGGAGGTGCTTGTCCTAGCGGGTGCTGCGGTAAAAAAAAAAGAAAGAGGCAAGGGGCAGGCGAGCAGCGGCTATGCATAGAGCCAACAAGACAAGTAAGGACAAAGCAGAGGCGAGACAGACGGAGATGTGGATGGTGAGCGCCGCAGGCGCGCCGCGGATAAAGCCGAGGTGAAGCGAGAGACAGCCCGTGGGCGGCAAGCGAAGGCGGCACGACAAGGTTATTAGTTCGATGGGACAATGGGGCGGTGGTTATTCGGCGGTGCAGCGGCGAGAGGACACGGCGTGGGCGGCGAGAACCACGTGCACCAATTTCGAGCGCCAGCGTAGTGGACCCGATTCGAGATCACGATTGAATGGAAGGCTTTGTAATGTAGAAAAATGCGAGCCACGGCGAGAACGAGGCGGTGAATAATTGCCATGCAACGAGTACGTTGTACGCCAGGAAAAATAAACAAAGCTGTTGCACTCTCTCTCTCTCGTCGGTTCATGCTTACCGAAATAAACCCGTGAGTATATATATATATTGTTTTTGTATTAATGGATTTTATTTTTTTATAAAAGTTGTTTTTCATGCTTAATCTAACAGAACAAACCGTTCGCTAGCATCGTCGTTCGACATTCCTAAATATCTTTACGTATTGAGTAATTTAACTTGGGCGTGTATTTGAGTCCACAAAACTAAGTCACACGGTTAAACTTATCGCATCAAGTACATTTTAAATAAAAATTACGAGAAACTTCGTTTGAAAATTTTCTTTAGCCTAAATCATGGTGGTAAACAAGCTCGTAACACCGGGTGTTACAACCAACCCCTAAAAAAA